GTTCTTAATCTTCTTTGGGGTCGAGGTTGACTGCAGCTCAGCATCCACAGGTTGAACATCTTCGTGATGGTGGTCAAGGAAAGAGACTCGGTCCGGGAGATGATTCAGTTAGTCCTTTGATTGTACCACGGACTACCTCCTTGATCATCGGCTCAATCATCTCCCATGCTGTTGATCTTATATTGATTGTCATCAATCTTCAGAGCTTCTATGGTCTTGAACCCCTTTCCATATTCATGCCTGCGCTTCATCCGGTTATACAGTTTTCTAGGGGATTGTCTCACATGTAGTGTATGTAAGCCTCTGGAAGAAACTGATGAGTGGGAGGTCATCTCCAAAGCATGTCCGTCGAGTATAGATGTCAATTAGTTTTCGTAAAGTCCGGAGGTAGATGGCCTGGTCAAGTATTCCCCAGGTAGAGTGCTCCGGTCTTTCTAGGCTTTCAAGATATAGACAGATGTTCTTTTTCCAACTGCTTTCGAAGGTGGAAACTACTGGATGCGTTTCTGAGGATGTTATGTCGAAGGTTGTTATTGTTCTCTTCTACGATCTGCCGTTCGCATTCAGAATGGACCTTTTGAAGGTGGGCGTATTTGTTCTTCTTGCACCAGGCGTATTTCTTCTTAAGCCAGTTAAAAATTCTCCTCCTGGTTTCACCTCGCTCAAATTTGTACTGGGACATTTTCTTGATGGAATGATATTGGGTGTTGCTTCCTCCTATGTACCCCTAGACCAGATTTAGTGGTAAATTCACGGTCACGAGAACGACAAGAGGGGGTCACTACTCTTTGGGATCTCAGCGGTTAGGGATTCAGTGAAATATTTTTTTTTGTTAGTACCGGGTTTGGATAAATCCGAATGGGGGTGAAAACCCGAGATGGAATATCTAATCCCATCCGATTTTGTCTTTCTCGGGGCTAAGAGACTTTAGGCATTGTCTGACTCTCGCCACGTGGAGGCTCCGGATTGGCACGTATTCTCATTTGAGTTGTGCACCCCTGCTTCAGCGGGATAAACTCAACCGACTTCTGAAAAGTCGAAAGCACAAAATATCTGTATTGCCGAATGTCCATATATTGTAACGTTGTTCAACCTAATTGAATTATTTCAAATAGTAGATAATGGCAATTTTTGTGCCAGGACGGGAAACTAGGTCAACAATCTTATTCGCGTGGCATGAATCATTCACATGAAAAGCTAGCTTGTCATCGTAAATATAAAAAATAAAATGAGACAATTCATAATATCATTAAATGGATTTGACATTGAGTTGATTTCCAGCATACCATGTTTGATTAGCAGAATACAAATTATACAGTCAATAGTATTCACAGTCCATGATGTATGTATGAAGGTTTAATTCCAATATTTGAATAATTCCCATGATTCAATTGATTTGTATTCCGCCATAACAATATCGTCAACATGATATAGAGATCCAATTTATCCATAGAGGTTGTGTATTACCATATCATATATTTTAAAAAAATGAAAAAAAACAATGTTAGACATGAAATAATACGACCATAATTCTTATCCTATAAATAACATTTTAATATAATACAATAAACATAACATTAAATTATAATATTTCTATGCAAATAAATATCTAATCTAAAGCATTACAGAGTTTCAATTTTCCCATCACTTAATTTCTCCTCTTCTTCAATAAATTCACTCATAGCTCTTATTGATCTTAACATAATACATTTGAACATAGTACGAAGTATGGATTGATAAGTTTCCAATTCTTGAAATATGCCATTTCTGAAATTTCAAATTGCTGCTTTATCAAAAGAATTAATTTGATTCAATACATCTTGAGTAAAAATACTATGTTCTGTATAACTTAGTAAATTTAGCCATTTCCAAAAATATTTTATTTAATAACAGTTGAAAAATAAATGCATACAATTTTCTATCACTCTGTTACAAAATACACAATTGCCATTCGTTTCATCCGATCTCCAGTCGGAGATGTAAAATCTTCCAACCTAAAATCTGATATTTTCTTGGAATATAAATTGCCCACACTTTATTCCAATTAAAAGTTGGGTGTAATCTAAATTTGGATATAATTTTACTTCTTTTCGGTTTACTTTTTTAAATAATCTTCTATATAGTATTTTTATCGTGAGATTTTCTGAAAAAGCGTATTTAAAAGACATCACGACAGGGTTAACTTATGACTGATTTTCAGCCAGACTTATTATCTTATCTTCTCTATATATTTTTTCAGTAATTTGTTTACATGATAATTTGACAATATGCTCTGCCACTCCATGGTGCTTTGGCACCATTGGTCAATTTCCACAACCATTCCAGTTGTATACTTTTGATCTGCAATTACATATCAATACATCTTAAACCACCCTGCATTTTATTGGCACAGCATACACTCCTGCTTGTATATTCTTGTTTTTCCCCTAATTAAATTTACAAATTACCTTTTTTAAAGTTGGTAAAAATTTATAAGGTACTATTTCGAAAGATGCTAAATCCCATTACTTCTGGATGTAACAACCATGTGCGCAACTCTCAATGATTCGTCTATAATAAAAACTATAAATTTGGCGAACAATATAAAAAGTCGTTGAATATTACTTCTATATGAATATACTTCTTGGACACTTAGAAGAAAGTCATTAATTTCAATGTTATCATCTGAAAATGATGTTTATCCCATTTCTTCTCGTTTGCAACAAAAATGAGCGCGACTCTCAATGATTCTGATATCATACATTGCTTATTATTGAATTTGGCTCACAATATTCAACCCTGTGTCCTTTGGATGTTACTGTTCTCTTCGACAGCGGTTCAACTGGTTGTGCTTTGATTTGGGAAAACTCGGGATAAGCAAGAGATACAAATGATAAGTGTTTTTACATGCGCTTTACAACTCTGATGCCAAAATCACGTACTCCGTCAAAAACGTGGATATTCTAGAATCAAAGTAGCTTGCTCCGTCAACTTCGTTTGTGACATTTCTGTACTACGCATCCATTACCTTCACTCTCGTCACGGGCCAAAACAAACGACCTTCTTCCTACCTGAGATAACTTCGAATTTTTCTGGTTTTCATGCGCAGTTTTAATCTGACGTAAATTTCGGTTTTCCCTGCAGGTACGGCGGTATTCTTCGTTTCTTCTTTGGTCCTGTTTAACTCTTTGAACTCTGAATCCCCAGAACGACGATACTCTCTCACCCTGACCTCCCACGGCGTCGCATCGATTCGACGCGTTAAAAAATTGTAATATTCCTAATTTTAAATCAAAATAACTTCTAAACCATTAGATATCAGATGGTCTGTAATATATCATATAAAAGCTTATCTAGTCTTTTATTTTTAACTGGCATTATTTTTCACGAGATGTTTTGATGAGATGTGTAAGCCTATTTGTAGCCCCATCTACTATTTTTTTGTATTTTGGTAATATTTAACACATTTCTTAGAAATGTATCATCAATATAAGTACAATTTTGAAAATTATACAAAATTACCTTTCGGAGAATATACGTATGACTTTCTTAACATACGCATAACTCATTTTATTGCAGAATTTGTACTATCGATTCAAATGGTTTGCGAACAAAATTTATCAACTATTTGACGCCAAGTTTGCGTAAGGACGCAAAGGGCGACGACGACATTGTCGTGATAACGTTCATTCGACGTATCGTGCGTAACTCTTTGCGTGAGGTATATTGCGCAATTGCACATCTGGTCGTTCACAGCTTGAGTGCAGATTGTGGCTTCATTGCATTAGTATCATATCCTCGGCCGCAGATAAAACCCTTTCAGACGAATTTTGATCGAACATAGTAAAATTGCTAGAATATAAAGGCCATTTTATATACGTTTACTATTTGGATATGGGACGAAAATGAATGGCCAAATCGAAATATTTGATCCTCATGAATTTATGAGGTTCCGCCGGAAACATCAAGGCTAATTATTCACCGTTGGATATCATGAAGATTGAATAAAAAAAAACTGATAACGGGTACACGGAAGACATGGTGGCACCAGTAGCTCACCTGGTCAGTGTTTTACATTTTGCAGCCTCATTAGATTTTCGAAATTACTGCATATACGCTACATTCCTGATATCGCTATATTTACAATGGATTTTAAACGAAAGCTTTGTCCAGATGAAATATTGGATAGTATTCATCTATCGGAAGAAGAAAATAGGGCACAATAAAACTCAGCAATGGCGCTAAACAATGCATCCATCGATATGTTCCATCATTCTGTTTTTAAAAATTCTTATTTTGGCTATTCGTATTTTTCATATCTTTATGCAATTAAAACGGCAATAACACTGCGTATTGTGTGTTTTAGTCGAACCGATGTAATGCGTAAATTTCCCCGTGTATCGTTTACAAGTCGTAAGTCGCTTCACGAGTACGAACTTAAGTAAATGACGTTACGAGCATGCGAGGAAAAGTGTTTCTCGTATGAAACGTAAACGTGCTACGTGCCAACGTAATTGCTTAACGTCGCTGCGTAACGGCGTAATGTGTTAGGTCGTTATTTACGTCACCTTGACGTCGCCTCGATCTTGTGACAAACAAAATCACGAATAAAAATGCTTCTTAAATTTGAATGGTGCAACATAAGTTCAATCTAATGGTATCACTGGAAAGCTATCTTCAAATTCTACAAATTTTGTCGATAATGTACTAGGTTTAATCGAAAACAAATTTAAGTTTTGTCAATTAGATTTGAGCAATTTTCAGAAGTTTTTTATGCTTTTTAATTTTGCCAATTTTAATAAGATGATCACCATATTTTATCTCAATTTTAAAATTATACTTAGTCCTGTAGATTATCTTTCACACGATGTAAAACTTGTCTAAATATAATAAATGGTTCGCGAGATATGAGGTTTCAAACTTGCATACCTCTTACGGGATGCGAAAGCCGCTAAACCGGCTTTCAGCGTCAGAAGACTTTCTCGGGAAAGCCGGTTTAGCGGCTTTCAGGGTTCAAAGAGTTAAAGCCGAATGTTGATCAGACTTACACTCCTTTGTAAGATATTCTTGGGATACGTTGTACAACTCTTGATGCCTGAATCACGTACTCTATAGAGAAAATAGATAATTTTTTGTTGCCAAATAAATTCCAATGCTAAACGAAATTTTCGTATAGAGATTTTTTAATGTTGAATCAGAATAAATTGCCCCAATTTTTTGTATTGTGATTTCATTGTTTTTTCAACACATTCCACACAAGTGCAAATCCGCATCCATGCATATTGGTTTTTCCTCGTCATATTGTTTGTGATTAGTTGAAAAGTGACTTTCTAAATCTGTAAAGAAATATTCCTTTCCCTTTGTTAATTTGGTCATTTTTCACGTATAGTTTAAATTCAACCCTTACAAAGCATGCCATGTCGACAGATCACAGCGTTGATTGTGAAAACGGCAGGATTTTAGAAAACTAAACACACAACAGGAAAAACTATTTTCCGAATCGTACATAAATCATATAAATACTTTGGGGTTTAAATGTCATCTTGGAATTTGAAAGCGCTGATGCCCTTTTTCATATCAGGTTTGATAAATTGATAAGGCAATGCAGAACAGAAAATTTCACTTCTTTCGTAAAAAAATCGGGATCTTCTTACTTTGATTCGATGTGAATGACTCCAGCCTCCTGTCGGTTTATCGTGATGATCTCTGCCGTAAAAGATAAAAACAGTGTTCAACTGCTCAATTATTCTACTACAAACAAAAAAAAATGTTACCTTTGCCTGCCTCTTCTAACCCTGAAACGTTTTCCCCCAACGCTAAAGCAAAACAGCGAATAAACTGTTACAATCATTTAATGTACATGGATAAAATAGGGCAGGGCATTCCACATCGGGATTTCTGAGTCTCTGAATAAGTTTGTCAAGCTACATTAACAAGATTATCTCAAATGACTTTTACACTCGAGGTGTTTTTGAAAAATTCTCGTTGTTTTCTTTTAGTCCTCATTACTTTATCCTCAGCCTTCTTATCGTTGTTTTTTTACCCCCGATGATGCTATGCTGGATAATTTAGATACAAAACAAACGGTAATGGGGAATGTTTCATGAACCTTTTTCTGATGGTATAACAATAAATTAGAATTAGTTCTAATTACCTGTGCTTTGGGCTTCCTGCTTTAGATAGCTTTATCATTTCTGGTTGTACCGCGCATTTTCAATTTGATGTAGATTTCGGGAGAGTTTCTCCTTGATCCTGTTCAAAACTGAATTGTGATCATACTCTTTGTTAACACGTAGGGATGCAGAACCTAAAAGCATACCCAAGTATTTTATACTCACCCTTCTCAACCATACTACGTCTAATACCGGTATTTTGTTGATTTGATGGCACAACTGAAGTTAAAAAAGAATGAAATAGTATGCAAAATTTATTTTGTTCAATAAAATTTAATTGTGTAAATTTTTCAGATCAGGCAATGCAACTTTTGGCCAGAATAGAAAAAATCATATTTTGAACAATATTCTTCTATAGGCTTCCCAAGAGGTTTGTTCGCGGTGTGGAGCATCGTGCTAATGGTTCGGTGGCTCAAAAACTAAAAAGTACTAACCAATCAACTAGCGCAGTATGAAAGTTGCCAGTCGATATTAAAAGTTCAGGAAATGACACTCAAAACCAGGTTCTGCTCTAGCTGCACAAAAAACTAATTCAATGTGCCGTGCCGGAGAACTGAAATATAATTTTCAATTCCAGAAAGAAAAAGTTTTCTCGCGGAATGCGCCATCAGTCTGCGATTGACTATCGCGTGACGTTTGATGTCCCGGACTCCGAGTATCAAACTAAGAGAGATTCGGCCATGAATCCGAATCTTGTCGCATCCCTAAAAAGCTGCAATGCATAAAAAAGCCACATGGTCATTCTTTATTTAGCACCGTGATTCCCAAAGTGGGCGATATCGCCCCCCGGTGGGCGATAACGCTACAGAGGTGGGCGGAAAAGTCGAAAGGGGCGATTTCTAGAAACCTGTTTTTGTTCGGCGCATCGTGCACCTGATTACTGTACTCTGCGTGCTTTCGTATGTTTGAATCACGTAGGCAATTATCACACGCGAAAGGATTGCTGGACTCGTCTTCGCAGTAAGATACGGTCGTTTCCGTATCCCAGTGGTCGGCAAAATACGGCGGCCGAAGTAAAATAATCAGGCCCGGGACGCTCCAATGAATGGACCGTTCCCCGACCTTTGACCCCGGAAAATTTTTCCTATACCTCATCATTTTAAAATTTTCGATGCGTATTTTAAGAGTGGTTTTGCGAGATGTTGCATGTAAAACGGGGTATTTGTTTCAAACTATCATTCTAATTCATACCATTCAACAATCTGTTTTTTAAAAATACCAGTAAAGAATTTTAGCCTAGTCTATGAAAGATATTTCTACACCAAATTTTTGCCTACTGTAAATAAACTGACACTTCTGACTTCTGGGGAGACAAAGTGATCATTGACTTTTATTATTATTTATTTATATTTAAATTTCCGAAAAACAACTAAAAACTAACGAATATATTTCAAAAACGCCAAAATGAGGTAATTTTCATGCCCACGCCTGAAAATCTGTCTGAGTGAGAAATGTGTCTGAGCGGATGCAAAAGAGGGCATTGTTACGTTTATTTTTGCATCTTGCTGAATGGCCAATGTCACGAAGTAAACAAGGAAGTCTATGCCCGGGGAAACATCCAAACGGCGGTTTTGGCGATGAATTAATTTTATTTACAATCTAGGCTAGAGTAGTAAATTACATTTTTTTATGTAACAGAATTTATCGTGAGGCACGTTCAGACAAAAATTTCATTATATCCTTAAAATTATATTGAACAGCTTCTCGTTTAACGAGTCTACATTTCAATTATAATTATACAATAGGAAACACGCAGAAAAGTTGATGCTGAGTGCAGGGGTTCAATAGCGCAGTAAGTATTAGAATATATTGCAATGCAATGAGGAGATAAAATTCATATTCTATTCGAGGGATTCATCACTGCTTAATTTTTGTGAGAGTGTATCTTCTTAAAAAATATCTTCATCAAAATTGACAAACCTTGCGATAACATTCGATAACATGCGATACAAAAAGTTTGGGAACCACTGATTTAGCAAATTTTTTTTCCTTTGAGAAGATCGTAAAAAGAAAATTTATTTGTTTTTTTCAAGATTTACGTATTCGAGTCACCATCGATCCCAATAACCAGTATAATTAATCATAGCTTTCTACATCTTTTCACGACCCACTACGATTCCTTTTGCGACCCACAGTTTGGCATGATGTAGCGTAATATTAAATCCATAATAACTACGGAAATTCAAACTGCCTTGTGTTCAACTCGAGATTGCTTTCACCATGAGAAAACATTACCTAATACATGATAAGGCGACCCAAAAAAAAATCAGGCCAAAAATACAGCTTTAGAAAAGCGACTTATTAGCCGGGAAATACGGTAAATTAAAAAATGATCTTGCGAGACACTAATGTGCGCGGCGCGGCTCAACGCGCTAAGCGTTAGGAATACGCTCGCCACCGCACCTTTAATTACTCTGCGTGGGTTCGCAGGTTCGAATCCCATGCAGAGATGGTTATGTGCGAGAGGATTGCTGGACTCCTCGCCGTCGTTGGGTGGTTCATGTAACCGCTGGTCGGTAACGGCTTCCTCCACCACCAAGTCCATGCTTCCGAAAAACAATCAATATAACTAATCCCATACCCGACTTGGAATGGTAACCGGACGAGAGGCCGTGGTTCGCCACAGGGATAAGCCGTCTTATCGGCTTTCCTCTCCCCGGGATAAATATGTAAATCCTAATGGCCAGCGGCACCCTGGTTGGGAACCACTGGAATAGACGATAACGATACAAATGATCCGAATTTAGATTTTTCTTGTACAGCAAAAGGAATAAAGAATAATGAAATAGTCTGTCGTTTCCAAGCATTGAGAATTTACTTATTTGCCCAAGCATGCTTTTCTGTAGATAACAACTTTAAAAAACCGTTGTTCAATGTTACTTACATTCACGTGAACGTCCGAACAAGACCAATTAGAATTGATTTTACATGTCATACGTTTGTTAGCGGGAAACAACGAAACAAACAAAATAACGCATTCACCTTCAGGAAGTACGCTAGCGTTGCGCTATACAGCAACGAGAAAATGTTTATGTAGCGGGACTTTCGGCTGACTTGTCGGGACGAGGCGATAAAAAGCGGGACGTATGGTAAGCCTAGTTATACATATAATCATGGAGAATTTTAACATCCTCTCGCACATAGTTACCGTAAAAGCAGGTAACTTCGGATGATTTCACTATATTATGAACAATTTCTCCGTCGTTTATTGTTCAATTGAAGCCAAACTTGGAATATAATACAATGAAGCCTTTCTCTTCACGATAAACTCGGTTTCATATCAGTCAATACCTTTTTTCATTCAAATTATTGACTTTATTTGTCTGCAGATCTGTATTCCGAATGTTTCTAACTTCGGATGGCCACTTTTCGCTTTGCGTCACTTCGTCGTGAGAGAGAAATGTCTGCGTGATCAGTGACGCGTGATAACGTCGCTGCGTAGAACTTACGATGCCGTGATCCGTTTTGCGTGTCACACACTGACGTTCATCTATTTTTTGAAAAAGTTAAAAAAGCATGTTTGGGAATTTATCTGGAATTATAAAACAGAAATGATTGGCAGGGTCCAAATGTGTATTAATTATAATGAAGGGGGGATAAATATGATAGATATTGAAAAAAAGATTCAATCTATAAAACTAAAATGGGCTATCAAATTGATTCAGGGCACAAATGCTACCGGTACCTGGACAAAATTCGCAAGATATTTCATTCAACATTCCAATGGTGTATTTGATACAGATTCTTTTGAAAACTTATTTCTTGAATTTCCAATAAGGAACATACCAAATGAAATACCTCAATTTTATAAGGAAATGTTTATACACTTTAGAAAACTAAACTTAGTAAGAACTATTTTACCATGCAATTTTCATGATATTTGTAGAGAATATATCTGGCACAATTCTATTTTTGGAAATCTATCATACCCGTTGAATACAAAAATTAGATTAGAAATGGGATTATAACCCTTGGAGACTTATTCTACGTTGAAAATTCACAACTGGCATTACGAATAGGCAACAATACTTCTAGTAATATACATGGAATTCAAAACAGATTAGAAATATTTAAAAGAGATATCATAGCTAACATTAATACATGGCCCCATCTATCAAACTCTCAAATCAACCAAGCATATGATCTTTTTTCTGAAAATAATTGGAATATAAAACCCAAAACTAAGTTTCTTTATTTAAGATTAATATCTCCTGATGTGGAATCAAAAAAGGTAATCAAAGATTTATTAATAATTTTGGAATTGAATACTCAAAAGTATCCTGGAATAAAATTAGATATTACGATTTACCAAGAAAAACCCAAGACTTTTGTTGGAAAGCGGCAAATTTAGCTTTACCAGTAGGTAATTTTTTAAATCAGTGATGAGGGTGGGGGTTGTGTTTTGTGTGATGGAATAATGTGCGAAACAGTATATCATTTATTATGTGAATGTCCCTTTACAAAATGTTTTTGGAATTGGTGCCAACTTGACCGAACTGACACAAAATCTGTACTTCTTTTAGACAATATTGACAACGAATACTGTTTATTTTTAATTGGAATCGATAAATATTGCATCTGGCTACATCGTAATAGTGTAAAGTATGATAGTTTGGAAAAAAATCAAATTAATTTGAGAATACAGTATAAAAGCATGATCCAAGGTCAAATTAATTGTTTTCAATCATACAAAAAAGAGAGATACATGCAAAGTATTGTTAGAACATTGCTTGAGAAATCTGTTTCAACTTGACTAAATTACCTCAACTATTTATAACTGTATTTAATAGTACTAATATTTATTACTTATCGATCTTAAGATTTTCTTAAGTTGAATCTGCTCCAAATTTTGCATGTGCATGCATCATATCTCGGACCAGAAGCCTATTGATTTTGGGTTAATTATGTCGTATAATTAGCGAGTTATTAATTATTTTTTTCGGTCGATCGATAAGTCTTCGGTCTCCGACCGATATTCTTGTTTTAAAATTGAAAAGTTTCATCCATTTAAACTTTCATGTTGGGTGGGTTGAATATCACCCCCTTCAACTGATCAAACATGATCGATAACCTATCTAATTAGTGTAAATGTTTTTCTATTTCCATGCATACCGTATTATAAAATTAATTATGTAATTACTTAAATGTGCTGAACGAATGGAATGTAATGGATTATTTGACTGGTGGATACATTGGATTACTTCAATGGAATAAATACATCTATGGACCTTGAATCAACATTGTTATATTGTTATGAATCAAATGTGACAAATAACTTCCTTCTTTTATATGTAATGCTTAACATGCTTAATGTCATTGATCTGGTATACCCGTGCGTTTACATCGGCAACAGCTCTTCCCTTCCCTCAAGTTTTAACGTTTTTTTTTTGGACAAAACAATAAAATCGTTACCGACTAACTCACAATTTTATCTACGGAATTTGCGAACACAGCACTTTACTAGATGATTTTGACAGTGTCACGCCATAATTATTACCGCTAAAATGCTTCAAAATACAACGCATGTAATAATTTATGATAATTTTGCCCAGCGCTATTTCTGACATTTCGCAAAACTAAACCATTTACTTCTGACTATTCTTAATTTCATGAAAGTGCTAGATTTTGCTAATATGATCGTTTTAATACAAAACAAAAATGAGACAACATTAGACAAATGAAAATAAAAAAACAGACGAATAAACTAAGTCTTAAAAATGGAAGTGGAAAACCAATTTTAATACGAAGCAAAAATGAAACGCATGAAAATAATAATAAAACGAATGATGAATTACGATAGGTAGTAAAAAACGGCAGTGGAAATGGAAAACAATATGGAACGGTGTAGCTTGTGGCTCGTGTTCATAATTCAGATATAATGTATTCACAGTCAAATGACATGAAACGCCAAATAGAAACTTTGATACTCTTTTCTTCATTTTGCGACCTCCTACTGAGTGCACCTGAGTTTCATGCTCTCTACGCTTAAGATATTATCATCGTAAACATACATACTTTATCATTGTGATAGTATAGATACGCGTAACTGGCTGTTCATTAGCCTTACGTATCAACAACATCTATACGTTCGGAGAATAAATGCAAAAATATTAACGCACAAATTTGATGTGCATTAAACGGATTCACAATGAATAAACAGCATATGACTGGGGCTATAATGAAGTTTTTGTAGGATTTGGTGACTAGGATCAGGTAGGAGCTTTCACTTCATATTTAACTACACGTGGCGCCACATAGTCTAACGTTCAAATGTCGCAGCGAGCTACGCAATGTGACGTCGGCGTTAAATGGAGCGAAATTGAATCACGTTGTTGACGTCACGTTCAGCGTAAGCCTCGTAACGTCGATATTTTGACGAAATTTTTAATTCAAAATAATATATTTTACTTGAATCGCACACGACATCTCGTGATCACTGTAATTTTCCTTGTACATTGTGTATGCCCTCTAGCGATTGACGGTCTTTTAGTGAAGTTAGCGTCGGCAGAATTCGCTATGTTAGCCGCTCAAAAACAAGGTGTCAATTTTTGGCTGAAATGTGATTTTTTGTGTCAAAAAATAAATAAGATTAGGCGATTGAATATGATAACAGATTCAGATATACAGGGATGGCCAATTCGAATACATGTATTCGAATATCGGAATTAGCGTTCATAAGAATATCGGATATTTGTGTGACGTCACACATTTTCGACGGCGCCCTCAAAACGTTTCCGTTGAATGAAAACATTCTCGATAGAAACTTGCGCGTGATTGTTTTCATCACTCATCAGCGTAACGTGTTATTTTGAGGCCGTAAACGCCTTTACGTTTGTGGTATTTTCTTCAAAACGAAAATTTTCCACAAATTTGTTCCACGTAGCGAAGACAATTATTTTATTTTGTACGCGCACGGAATTGTGAATCTGGTAAATACGTTCATCGGCGGCGAGTTTCTAAAGACAACGCAACTTTTTGATTGAAAAGCGGCAATTTAAAATACTAATAATAAAACCGTAAACAATATAAGTTTTATTGAGGCCCGCGAAAATTTGAAAAACGCTTTTCTAGGCAGTGAAAATCGCAGAATTTCGTGTGCAGTACATCTAAATATTTGCCGAATTCGAAAAACATTACACGGATCAAAACATTATTTAATCGGGCAGTTTACCACACGTTTTTATTCTTATGACCGCGGATTGCAATGGTATATAAGAGTGAGGATTTTATTTTGTCGACGCAACCGCAGGTTAAATTGAAGACAATTAAATTAATAATGAAGCAAGACATTTTAAATATGCCGGTATCGGTCACGAATTCATCACTTTGCACAACAGAAAAATATATTGTTATATTATTTGTTGTAAAAGTCGACTCTCTTAACAGGTGGCATAATCGAGACGATGAATACCTATTTTCAATTTACTGCTAAACTTTATATTTATATTCATTGTATGAAATGAATTATACTCTACTACACTCAACAGGATTTTATATCATTATTTGAGATTTTTCTAACGGCGATAACGAGTTGGCAAGATTGCAAAAATACGTATTAAAATTAAATACATCAGGCAGTTTATCTCGTACTTTTAGGTCACAGATCGCCGTGGACCGAATAGTAATGTTTTTTTTTTGACGTAAGAAGAAGCAACCGCGAGTTACGTTGGACACATTAAATTAATATATAAAGATATTTTAGAAACTCGTAGTTGTCAGGGATTGAATATTTTACGTAATAGGATGATCATTATACGCCGAAAAGACGGCTCTTTTAACGATCGCGGAATCGCGGTGGGTGTTACCAAAGTCACTTTGGGTGTTACAGGCGGCAATGGGAGTTTCCGATTTCGAAAATCCTGGCTGCGCGGCTGGCAGTGGTGGTCATTTATCCTCTACTAATTTATTTCTAATTTCAAACACAACAATATGTTACACATAATAACAATATGGTTCACATAAATTAACATACAAATATACTGGTAGGTAGTAGAATACTCTATGCTTAAATATTAGAATTTTTAAAGGCATAATGGATTTTCGATTATTGTTGCTTGTTTCAGTTGCCTGTATTGCCAATAAATTTTATTATTCTCAGAAAATATACACAATTATCTGAATACAAGTAGTATTTTTGTCAACAGACTTGACTATTATCATAATATCATGGTACCAATGATAGAAAGCGCCAGACAACTCCTTGGCTATCTTTTCATATGGTCATTTGTACAAAGTGAATAATTTTAATAAACTGACTGTGTCACAAGTTGCTATTATTTTTTATTGATAGCTATAAACTATCAATTATCTTGTGTACATATATTGTTGGTTTGTGGCTTTATTCTGATATTTTTATTGAAGCTTATTTCCTAATTTACTGGGTTTTAATAAACTAAACAAAAATGTGTTATTTTCGATTTTAGAATGTATTCGGAATTTCAGATTCGAAAACATTATTTTAGAATGTATTCGGAATAGTTTAGTATTCGGAAATGGCCATCCCTGCAGATATATAGAAACTGCCAGAAGCAAAATATGACGTAATTTAGTCAAGATATAAACGATTGCAAATTTCATCCGAAGTTACAAACCATCCGAAGTTACCTGCGTTTACGGTATCTCCCGCCAGCAAACGAACCCATGCAGGGTGATCATAGGTGCAATGGCAAGTATATTTGTAACGCTTAGCACGGTGCGCCAAAGTGATAAAAACCATGCTGTCGTACATTGAATGATTTTTATTTGTTGTCAATTACTAAGGGCCACTACCATATCTTCAAAATTTGTTATGTGGTTTCATTTAGTTTGATAATTGACACAAGTCATGGCCCATTACAAAAAAATGAGATTGACCGAGTACAGTGTGTTTAGTTTGAACTGAATTTTTTGGAATATCTTTCTACCAATTTGTATGAGTGAATCATGATTTACAAAAGTAGGTCGTTTTGTTTCGAGAAAATACTTGGATCACATATTTGAGGGAAAATCAAAAAAGCATATTCTTAATGATTACTGAGGCATATAGACGTTACAAATCATGGTCCAAATAAACATCAATAAAAACCAAAGTCTGTAGACCGCTACTTAATCCATTTATTCTCTTATATCCTTATATCACCAGGCTTTTCATGGCGTGTTCTAATATGTGTTCGCAAGTGAGGTTGTCGAGTAAAGCTTTTATCACAGTCTGGGCATTTGTAAGGTTTGTATCCAAAATGAGTAGTCCTCAAATGCTCTTTTAAAGTTGATTGTTGAGAAAAATGTTTTGAGCATTCAGTACACGCAAATGGTTTTTCACCAGTGTGTTTTCTAATGTGCTTGCTTAATCCTGAGTAGTCTGTGAAGCTTTTATCACAATGTTTACATTTATAAGGTTTAACACCTGTATGGATTCGCTTATGAACATGTAAATGACATTGACGAGTGAAGTATTTCCCACATTCTTCACATTTGTATGGTTTTATGCCTGTATGGACTTGCATATGAGCTGTCAAACTGCATTTCTGAGTGTAAGTATTCCCACAGTGTTCACATACATGTGATCGTTCTCCGGTGTGAGTAACATTATGCCTTTGCAGAGCATACGCTCCTACAAACGATTTTCCACATTTGTCACATTTGAACGGTTTTTCGCCTTTATGAGTAACCATATGAGTTTGTAAATCCTCCTTTATACTAAACAGCATCTCGCATTTTGTGCACGAATATCGAGTTTTTCTGTAATGGGTTTTGACATGTTTATACATGCTAGATTGACATGTGTATATTTTGCCACATTCTTTACATGTAAACTGCTTTTCCTTATGATGGTTTACCATGTGTGATCTCAAAGAATATTTATTCTTAAACTGCTTCCCACATAATAAACACGGAAATGGATTTTCACTTGATTGTTTTTCCTGCTCAACCGATTCTTCTTCCATGCCAACTGCCTTATTAATATCATTCATATGTTCATCCCAAATAGGCATTTTATATATAGATTGTTCTAGGGATTTACTGGAATGTTCACTCCTCCCCTCTGGTGTATCAGAAACTCCTGTTCTTGAAGTTCGTGAACTATTTTGATCAGAATTTTCTTCGCTAGTGTGTCTATTGAAGTCTGGTTCAAAGTTTTTATCATAAATATGAGCCAACAAATGTTGTTTCCATTCAGACTGGGAGGCAAAATCTGTGTCACACTGTAGACATGAAAATGTAGAATTGTATGATTGCTCTGTGCTGTTGAATGACTCATCATTTTCAGTGTCAGGTTGCGAATCCATCTTTGTTCTTAAAGTTGTTCTACTAGATATTGTCTGAATTTGGAAAAAACCATGTGACAAGTGCATGACAGATCACCAAATAATAAACTGGCTGAAACCAATAAAATAACACAATGGTAATCATAGGTGTAAAAATATTATTTGGGACGGGACAGTTTTTGCAAACATAGACTAGCGTGGGGGCACAATAGCATGAGTGTTGAAATTCACAATATCAGAGTTCCAGTTTAGGTACATGTGTTCAACTCCGTCCCCTCTTTTCATTACAAAGTATAATAAAGCAAAAGATGGTTCTGAAAATGTAGTAGCTGCTCTATATCAGTGACTGCTCGTCCAGGGCACGAAGGGGTGAAAGTATAAAAATTTCAATAAATATGACATACAAATTGATACAGTTTTCAAATACGTTATTATTTATTATTCAATAACCGCCCTGGTAGATGATAGTTTATTTTAAAGACTTTGGACTACACAAAAGGTAAAAATGAAGAATCCTGGATAAATACAGCAGTTGGTGCTATGAATATAATAACCTATACTGTTTAGTCATTCAACATTTTCTGCTTCAAATTGAGAAAAAGTAGGTAGATGATAGTTTATTTTGAAGATGCCGGAATACGCACAATTTAAAAATAAAGAATTCGCAGTTTGTGTTATGAATATAACCTATACTGTTTAGTAATTCAATATTTTCTGCTTCAAATTGAGAAAAGAGAAAAAGTAGGTCTCGTGGTCTATGATATTGAAATAAATTAGGTAGCTAATTTAGAACTGGAAAAATCCAGTTATTCAAAAAATATTGCGTGCTTATACAGTCTTGTGCGAGCGAAGAAAAAAACTTGAGGAAAATGGCAATTTATTTCAATAAATAAATTGGGTAGTCAATCTCGAACTGGGAAATTCCAGTCATTCAAAAAATATTGGCTGCTCATACAAAGTCTTGTGGGAGTAGAAATGCCCCAGGACAGAATAAAAACTTGAAGAAAATGGCAATTTATAAGAATTAAAAACAATTTTTTCTTTCATAGCTAATAGTGTGGGTGCCATACCCTCTAAACTGTGGTGTTATACCAAGTTACACATCACAAATTCTTCTAATCCTGGGCCAACTAGAGTGTGATCGATTGCGCAGGCAATGGCGAGCCGGAAAGATTATTCTTGCATATTGTCAGATATCAGTGGCTGCTTTGTTTAAAGCAGGAATTTAATTATATGAAAAAATAGTTACTCGTTCCATTTCATTTATCAATTTCTAGTTCACAGTTAAATCAGCGTAACATGTAGAAACATTCACAAAATTGCTTCAAAGATCACAATGCTTCATTCTCAGATGAGCAGTTCGGGCAGATTTCTGGGAAAAACGTTTTTCACACAAATGGCACCCGAAAAGTCTTGCACCATTATGCGAAAGTTTATGTCTTCGAACACAGTACATCCGTGTGAAATATTTCCCACATGGTTCACACAAAAATGGTCTTTCATCTGTATGAGTTTGCATATGTCTTTGCAGAGTAGTTCGCAATGTGAAACATCGACCGCATGTTTCACAAGAAAACGGTTTCAGACCTGTGTGAATAATCATATGTCTTCTTAAACATGATGGGTCTGTGAAAGCCTTTCCACACTCTATACAAATGTGTGGCTTTTCTCCGGTATGTATCATTATATGTTGCTCAAAAACGGACCAGAACTGGAAAAGCTTCCCACATGTATCACACATGAATTTTGGTGGTTGTAAACTTCTTTTTCTAGGCTTTTTCGCTTTCACTTTTGGGACGTTTATATTGGACTTGCATATGTCACCTTTGCCACTTTCCTCACGTGTTAACGGATTCTCATTTTGGTTGTTTGACCTGAGTTTCCATGAATACTTACTCTTACGCTGTATTACTTTTTCAATTGTTTTCTTCCTCGTATCAATTGCCTGGGTTCTTGGTTCGTTTATATTAGACTTGGATATGTCAATTTTGCCACTTTCTTCACATGTTAACGGTTTTTCGTTTTGTCTGTTGGACCTGAGTCTAGAAGAATACGTACTCTCACGCTGTATTTCACTTTTTATTGATGGAATTGCTTTTTCAATTGTTTTCTTCAAATCAAAAGCCTGGGCCTTTGGTTCGATTATATTAGACTTGCATGTGTCCATTTTGCCACTTTCTTCACATGTAGATGGTTTTTCTTTTGTTTGCTTTCTCAGATCAATTGCCTGTTCAACATCCAAAAGTGTTTTATTCCAAACTGACATTAGGCTCATTGAACTAGGTTGTACTGAGGATTCACAGTAACAAGAATCAATTTCCGTCTTAATGGAAAAAGAACTTCGGGTTCTCATAATTGATGAACTCATCTGGCCTGATTTTCCTTCACATGCACTTTGGAAATTGTGTTCTCAATTATTATCAACAAATGTTTGTTCACATTCAGACTGGGAAGCATACTTTAGTACTGTTTTTCCACTAGATATTGTCTAAATTAGAGAAAGAATCACATGCATATGATATTACGAGTTGAAATGCATTGTAGGAAACAAAAAATGGCGTAACAAATAACGAAATTATTTGCAAATTACCACCCAAAACATAGAATATAGTAGATGTGTAAAAAGTTATTCGGATATTTAATATGAATTTTCATCCGTGAACACCTGCATAATCTTCAATTGATAAAGAACAAATTGTTTAGGTAATATTGATTGTCTGGCAAACGTATATTAGATCAAGATTTCTCAAACTGAGCCCTCGGCTTCATTGGGGTCCACTGAGCAAATTATTAGCAAAAGGGCTGTGCTCAAGTATATGGACACGAAAAAGTAATATTTAGCGAAAAACACAATCTTTAACCACTGAAAATTTATCCAGTAGTTATGAAAACAGTACTGTTTTATAACGAAGAAAAATACTATGAACATAATTAAAACGATACATAGGTCTACTTCATGTTCAATAATGACTACGCAAAATAACTGATGGAGGGGTTAAAAGCAAATCTAGGCATCAATATATAAGGAGCAAAGGATCACAAGTATAGAAAAGCCTTGGAAAGCGCCATGGATTATATAAATTTGAAAAGAAATTGGACAAATGACCGAAGCATTCGACTTAGATATGCTGACTCAGAGGATAACCACCCTTACAGGGGTTTGATTGCGTTGGGTAGGTAATACCAACACAGAAATATACAGTTCCTTTACAAGTATTGCAGCTGCTTGTCGAAGAGTGATGGTTTAAAAATTTATATATAAACTGTTATGTGAAATCCACAAATAAAAATTCTCCACAATAGAATAATATGCCATTTAAGCAGTGGTATTCAACTCTAGGGTTCTGTCAGTACATTCCAGGGGTTCTACAAGTTTCTATACAAATTCGACAGTCTGTATTAATATAGGTATTGTTCTCAACTAAAATTACTTATAAGTTTGTCACTATTATTAAATTTTCTACACTTCGAAGATCATTTGGTTTTAACGGTATTAGTTTGCTTTTGTATATATTTGTAGTCTATACAATTCAGACAAAACACAATTAAACTATTGCACAGGGGTCCTTGGAATGCCTCTGGAACTCCACCTAAAAAGTTGAAACCACTGCATTATAGCAATGCAAGCACAACTGCAATGCAACACAACAATATAGTTACAACTGGAAATAAGTCTAAGAAAAACATGCTCGGTAGTGTGGCGCGTCTTGCTAAGCGCTAGGAGTCTGCTCGCCACTGCACTTCTGATTACCCTGCGTGGGTTCGAATCCCATGCGGGGATAGTTATATACGAGAGGTTTGCTGGACTCCTCGCCGCCGCATGGTGATTCAGGAGCGATTCACTAACTGCTGGTCGGCTTCCTCTATCAAGTCCATGCTTCAGAAAACAAATAACTGGCCAACTAATCCCATACCTGACAGAACTGTTAACCGTCCCACGAAATAATTATGTAAATCCGATTCTATACCAATCCTACAGATTAACTTAACGCACTTGGGAAATTATATCATTCCCTTCTTACAAGTTCTGTATGCATATATGTTAATTTAATCATATTTAGATAAGGTGTTTGGGGTTATCATAATTTGTAAATATGAATTGAGATTTTGAAATCAAAAACTTTTAAGTGATTCAAGAATCTTGCTGCATGACTCATGAAATCACTTAGGATAGATATTTTACTCTTGCTACAGCATCCTTGCATTATATGCATACAGATCCACTGGCACAAAAGCATGCGGGGAGGACAAATAAATTCAAAGATTTCCAAGTTTATAAAATAACATGTATATTTATAAGTCCATATTTTTTTACTTTTGACTCATCGCATCTACTGAGGTTGCAGTATTGAGTAAAGCATGCAGATTATTTTAAAATGTACCAATAATAAATTATAAATGTACTAATCAAAAAAGAAAGCGAAAATTTTCACAATAATAATGAGAGATATATTAAATTGGCAAAGAACAGCAGGTTCAACTAACATCATTATCCACGGCCCAGGGATGGCAAAAACGGGGTATTTGCAATTGATCCCTTGTCAACCAAGATAAGCCGCTTTCTTCCTAGTTCAAGGCTAACTATACCAATACAGGGTGATACTAGTTGATTGTGGAAGTGCCTATTCATTCGTAACCGCATTTCAGGGCGAAGGGAGACCCGCAAAACCAATACTGGACAGCGGCCATAGCCTAACCAATTCATTAGATCCTGTGCAAGGGGGTGAGCATGGGATTTGAACCTGAGATATTAAACCTACAATGCCATCATAGGTACATATAATGCAGTGTTTCCCAACCTTTACCTGGCGCCAATGGTATAAGTATAAGTTTATTCAGACTCCATAATCAGCAATAGACGTAAAAGTAACTGATCATAGAATCGGGAGAGCGAACAAAACCTCGAGTAAGGTTTGAAACGAACAGATTTTAGATGAATAGGTATTGATAAAAGAAGTAGTATGTGTTCGCTCACCCAAAGATAAAAAAAATAATTGGCCCCGCACGCACACACACACACAATCATAGAGACATGATAATGTCGATAGTGAAAAAAACGAAACCTAAATTCAATTAAATTACAATGTGAAAAGGAAAATATACAAACAAATGAGAAAAAAAAAAAATTTTGCCACACCAAATTAATAATTTTATGAGGATTGCCAAATACCGAATTAGTCAACAAGAGTAATATACTGATATTAGAATAGAAAAGTATTCCTCAAAAGATATCGTCAAACTGATTATAATTGGAGTCAGCGAAGGGGGGCCACAGAGCAGTTGGAGAAGGGCCACAATGCTAGGTGCATAACTGATTTTACTGTACATTGCATGATTTGTTTCACTTAGTTGGGCATGAATTATTTGAACATAATGGGATTTTGGAATTTACCAATCAAAATAACACTGTGAATATCACTGGAAATATAAATAGGGGGCTATGAGTGTTAAAAGGTTGGGAACCACTGGCACTGCCCAATTTGTTACACTTGCAGAAAATAAGGCTGTTTTATGTTATCCGACGGTCTTTGGTAATTTCAATAAATATTTAGTATCACAGTTTATTCTTGAGCTCGAATCCTGCCCAGTGTAGCAGTAGTATATGCAGAGCCAAAGTTCAGTGGCCGCATGCAACCCATAGACAGCCTGTATAAAATCCTATTTACAACATAAGTGTATACACAAAATATGTGGGTAAATGCCAACCAAATAAAATCGGAATACTACTACGTTTATATTCAATTAATATAAAATAACATACATATAACGTATATATACAAATACACTTATCAAAACCTACCAAACAAATAGACAGTACCAAAAAATAGGTAAATTCACTAATGATTATTTAGCACTATATCTTCAGAGTTGGATAATTTTGGCTGATAACCTTGATAACGTGGTAAACGAATTTTTTTTACATAAAATTAGATTTGTTCAAAATTATCCAGCAACAAAGTGTCATAATGGATTCTTTACATCAAGATCCTTAATGCTTCATTCTCAAATGAGAAGTCAAAGCACATTGCTGGGTAAACCGTTTTTTACATAAATGGCATCCAAACGGCTTTTCACCATTATGTGCGAGCCTGTGTCTATGAAGACTATACATCTGTGTGAAGGATTTACCACATGGTACACACTTATACGGTTTTTCACCTGTGTGAGTTCGTACATGTCTCCTCAGACTAGTCTGCAAAGAAAAGCGTTGTTTGCATTTTTCACATGAAAACGGCTTCTCACCAGTATGAGTAACCATATGTCTAGTTAGACATGATGGGTGTGTAAATGCCTTCCCGCATTCTTTACAAAAATACGGTTTTTCACCAGTGTGTATCATTATGTGTTGCTCATAACGGGAAGGGTATTGGAATTCTTTACCACATACTGCACATTTAAATTTCGGTTTGAATGTCCTTTTTTTAGGCTTTTTCGTTTCGGGTTCAGATTCCGTTGTATCAGTATGGCCATGAGTATGAGTTGTCATGTGTTGAGTCCACTCTACAACGGATGAGAAGTCCTGATTGCAGCGTAGACAGGAAAACTTTGCAACACCGGTACTTTCGGCAGTGTCCTCAGAATCATTTTCATCTTTTGATTCAGGAATTTCTTCCTTGATTTCTTGAATTTTGGGAAGATGGACTTGGTCATTTATTTCATTCTTGATGTGACGGTCGCAAACTATGTCTGCACTTGCTGAAAAAGTTTGGTCTCTTTTATCGCAATGGTTAGAAAAGGAATCCTCGCTTGATGAATGAGTTTCGTTTCTTTCATCGCCCTGGTTAGAAATGGAATTCTCACTTGATGAAAGGGTTTGGTCTCTTTTATCGCAGTGGCTGGACACTGTATCCTCACTTGATGAATAAGTATCGCTAATTATATCATCCCTTATCACTTTTCTATGTTTCAAGATAGGTAACTTAGTTCTTTTCACTCTATTATCCCCCACAATCCTAGCACTGCTGCGCCGGTTTACAAGAAGTTTATGATCTTTGATAACCTTGCGATTTTTAACACCTTCTTGCGCAGAAATTGTTCCCATAATAGTTGGTATCGCACCTTCGGTTAACTTTCTTTGTGCTGCTTTATTTTGGGTTTCGTCTGGTGAAACAAAGCATTTTTCATCGAAATGTTGGCTGCAAATATAAGCTCCAGAAACCAAATCCAACTCAAAATTTGTCCTGCTTTTTTGAACAAAATTAAACCATTGAAGACATTTAACAATACTATGAGGAAATCGATGCAAGCTTACTCCATCTCTGGCAGAATTGTAACAGCCTCCAACAGCACACCTAGATGACATTTCGTATTCGTGAAATGTTTTCTAAGTAATTTTAACTAAGATATCATTTTTAACGCAAAGATAAATAATACTTTAGTTTATGATAAAAACACTATTAGAACTGAGAAAGTTCAGGCAGGACAGGGTCATACCGTGCACAGCGCTTGGTGTATTGTAGTAAATATCACCCAGGGAGTGATAAATTGGATGAACAACAATGCAGCTGTTCCGAGCCAGGGGCCCGGTTCGTGAGGTCTACAGTGCTCGGTGCAATAATGGTTGTACTTTATTGAGCATGAATTGTTCGAACATAATGGGATTTGGAATCTACCAATCAAAATAACACTGGAATGATAAACCGGGAGCCATGAATGCTAGGCCACAAGCCATAGAAGGTTGGGAACCACCGCAATAATGCAATGCAGAGATAAATAATATTTGAGTCAATAATAAAAATACTATTAGAGCTGAGCAAGTTCAGGCAAATTGGTCAGAAGCAGGCTCTATAAAGCCAAACAATGCATATCACTTGGTATATTGCAAAAAATATCACACCGGGTATGATAAATTAGGTAGGCAATGCTTAACTGGAAAAATCTTCCCACAATAGAGTAGCAACTTGCATATTAGTGGCTGCCAGTGCAGGGCCTTGTTTAGAGCAAAAAGTGCAATTCTTTTTTATTTCTGTTTTTGTACAGTTCAAAGGAAATTTCTTATTTTATGTAAATTATTTTAAACTTTGGATGTTTTGCAGTAAATCCTCTTGTATTATGCAAAATAATAAATAAATCGCACAAGAGGATCAAAAAGAAGCTAAAAAAATACCGAGTATGACTACAGTTCATACTATCATCTTGGAGGAATAATAAAGGAATGTTTTAAACCTATTTAAAACTTGCTTGAATTTTACTTAAACTGTTAAACAATAAATTAAACGGAATATAAAAAAAAAACGTAACTTTAAAATATGGTCACATTTTTAATATTAACACTCGAATAAATTAAATAATAGCCAACATTACATGAGAGATAAAAAAGATTTAAAACTTGCACAAAATAAAAAATTGTCTTGATACTGCCTGTATGTTCCCTATCTAAACTGTTATTAAACTAAACATAGCAAGTTCAAAGATTAAACTAAATTGAAAATATTTTTAATACTATCCTATGCACTGTACCAGTATTTTGATGGTGATTATAGCCAAATCGGGGCACGGACGTAGCCAGGAAATGTGTAAGGGAAGGGGATCCTGAGGTCTAAATAGCGTTTCAAGCTACAAAAAATTACTATGTTATTATAGCAGAATGCTTTTTCCACATTTCAAACATGGGTTCTGACCCACAAATCCCTAAATGCAGGGACTTCATTTCCAAAGGTAAAACACGGAAACGCTTTTTAAATTTTCAAATTTGATTGAAATTCAAATAGACACCAGCTTAAAGTCATGTCAAGTAAACAGGCAAACCGCTGCATTCAGCTATCATATTGCAGTAGACACCAAGATATAGTGGCACTCAATTCTGTGTACTCTAGAATCAAAGTGCCTCCGCATATACAGCTCATAGAATATTTTGTTTAGGCAAGGGCATTACCAGTCCATTTCGAATATGGAAATAGTTACTAATTTACATGAACATAATAGAAAACGCCAAAACCAACCAGCGGTTATGTGAAGTTGTTACTTATCGATTTTAATGGGTAAGTATGTTGGTTGGTATTTGTCTGTCTGTCTGTTAGATGCACGCGATATCTCACGAAAGCGAGATTGAATCTGCTCCAGATTTTGCATGTGCATTCATCATATGTCGTATCAAAAGCCTATTGATTTTGGATGAATTATGTCGTATAATTAGCGAGTTATTAATTAATTAGTGATGGGACACAAGGTGTCACTATGGAGTAAGAGCGCTGTTTTGGGGGATTCCCTAACTTTCGATCGATAAGTGTTCGGTCTCTGACCGGTATTCTTGTTTTTTGAATTGCTCAGAGTTGCAACCAGAAATGATAATTCCTAGTAATTTTAAACAGACTGACATATACATATTATTAATTTTACTCCTAATGCTGTTCTGTAAGCTAACAGTGTAAACAAAGAACTTAAAAATAATATTGCAACACAGATAACATTATCCTGTATAGAGTCAAACTTGTGGTCAGTTACACACAGTTAAATTTTCTTTTGTACCGTGTATCATCACATGTCTATCACATATTATAAGCTGACCACCTAAAACGGTAAATTTATAAAAATTATACAATGATAATATAAGCATATAAGGACCGATCAGAGTTATGTATAAGACGACCCCTTAGTTTGACAACTTTTTTTTGAGTTTTAAACTCGGCTTATATGTGAGGATATACAGCGGGGGTCGGCAACCTACGGCCTGCGGGCCGGATCCGGAGCAATATAATCCGGCCTGCGACGCTTCACTTAATTATAGGAACAAATTATAGCTGTTTTGTCGATTATATTCTTTACGCAAAAGAATTTACGTGTAGACTAAATTATATTATAAGGTAACAAGTATATAATTCACAATTACTTGTTTAAATGAGCCTATAATTTAATTATAATTTAGACAAATGGCAACAAAAAGCAGAAAAGTTGATGCTAAGTGCAAATGGTTTAATGGCCCAAAAAATATTCAAATAGTCAGTCTTCGCGCGCTGCTTAAAATTTACCTTCTGATCTGTGTGATAAAATGTGATTAATCAGTCATCCATTCGATTTTTAATGTTCTAAAAATATGTGCGGCCCGCCAATGACTTGCAGCCTTTAATTTCGGCCCGCAAGCGACAAAAGGTTGACGACCCATGATATACAGTATGTAAGTACGGGACCCTGCATTTTTATGACAACACAGGTTACAGGTAGAGAAGTTGCAAGAAATACAGTTTGACCCAGAAGTGATCCCATAAATTTCTTAATTACTTGAAAAAAAATTATTTAACACTTGAATTTCTGTTTCTGAATGAGTGTACCCAAAAGACATCGCAACTGATCTGGTCTGCCCATTCTTGCATATTTGGTTATTTTATTGCTTCATTAAAATTGTTCAAGCTAACGACGTGTACCGGTACAATCGTAGTTTTAACAAGTTTACAATGTGGTTAAATTCCAAATTTTCAAAGAAATCTTGACCGAGGCTAGCTAAGTTGTCACCAACGTGATGGTTGTTGGGCCTTGAAACCTATTACATTTTACTATTCGGGACTCACTTAAAAAACTTTGCAGATCACTGCCCTAGCGTTCTAAGCGTTGAACTTAATGTAAAATATTCAGTAGATATTGCCGTACTGAAAAGATTTCAGTTTTTCCGAATAATAATGCTTCTTAAAGTCTTAACATATCGTTAGATATCAGTGGCTGCGTCTATAAGACCTTGTTTAGAGCAAAAAATAGTGATTAAACAGCTTATAAAAATATCCAGAGATATAATGGAAACCAAGGAACAAGACCGGAAAGCATAGAGAAAACAAGTCAATTGCAAAATAAGTGAGGCCACATAATATTCACATGGAAATTTTAAATCTACAATCCAGTTTCAGATCGACCATATTTATTACAATATTTTATTTGTGTTTCATACGCAAATGTGTGTTTAAAGTATATTGCTGGGAAAATCTCTTTTCACACAAATGGCATCCAAACGGTTTTTCACCATTATGTGCAAGTGTATGTCGATGTAAACTGTATAATTGAGTGAAACATTTCCCACATGGTTCACATACATATGGCTTTTCACCAGTATGAGTCCGGATATGTTTACGTAAAGTCGATTGTAATGCGAATCGTTTGTCACATTGTTCACAAGAAAATGGCTTAACACCAGTATGAGTAACCATATGTCTACTTAAACATGATTGGTGTGTAAACGATTTCCCACATTCTTTACAAAAATGTGGTTTTTCACCAGTGTGTATCATTTTATGTTGCTCAAAACGAGATGAATATTGGAATTCTTTCCCGCAAATGTCACATATATATTTCTGTGTTGAATCTGTTTGTTCAAAAGATTTAAATTCGTCACCGGAAGAGTCTGATCCAAGGGTATATCCATGGGTGTGCACTGTCATATGTTCAGTCCATTCAAAAACTGATAAAAAATCCCGATTGCAACGAAGGCAAGAAAATTTCATGATATCAGAGGTTTCAACAAAATCCGCAGTATTTTCTTCATTTTGATTATCAATACTATGACTTGCGTCATTGTCAGACCCAATACTGTCAAAGATTTTCTGACCTTTGACCCCATCATTTTCAAGCCCAAGGTCATCATAGTTTTGCTGTTTAACTCCACTTTTATTGTGATCGCTAATAATTATTCCATTAGATATCTTAGTACTGCTATCTCCGCAATGATTAACATTGTTTTCGGTTATTCCTGGTTCCATATTACTGAAACCAAGCTACGGTTTATTTTCGGGAAATAACTGAAAAAAATATAAGATAAAGCATTATTTTTGAATAATAGGATTTACATTTATCCCGGGGAAGAGGAGAGCCGATAAGACGGCTTAACCATATGGCGAACCACGGCCTCTCGTCCAGTTACAATTCCATGTTGGGTATGGGATCAGGTATTTGTTTTTGGAAGCATGGACTTGATGGTAGAGGAAGCCTTAACCGACCATCGGTCACGTGAACCACCCTACGGCGGCGAGGTGTCCAGCAATCCTCACGTACATAACCATCCCAACATGGGATTCGAACCTGCAAACCCATGCAGAATACAATAATATGAACAAAAGTATGAGTGTTGCCTAGCGGTTAAAGTGTTAGACTTAGCTAGTAGTTAGACCTCACCCATGGACATGGTGTAATACAGCGTTTCTCAAACTTTTTTTGCCCTGGAAAACCTATGCTTTCTATCTCGTCCCGTGGAACACTAAGAAATTGAACACTGAGAAATTATAAGGTAAAATTGATGTGTGGTTACCAAATTAATCAGCCTATGGTAAAATCAGAGAGTGTGCCGAAACAAACCGTCGGTTAATAGGATTTAAATATTTATCCAGAGGAAGAAGAGGAAAACTGATAAGACAGCTTAGCTTAACCATGTGGCGAACCACGGCCTCTCCTCCGGTTACCATTCCATGATGGGTACGGGATTAGTTAGTTGTTTTTGGAAGTATGGACTTGATAGCATAAACCACCCTACAGTGGCGAAGAGTCCAGGGAACCATCCCCGCATGGGACTCGAACCTGCGAACGTAGAGTAATCAGAGGTACAGTGGCGAGGGTATTCCTAACGCTTAGCACCATGAGCCACATCGCCGCCACAATGATGTTGAACGGTTAACGAAAACACCATGTCTTCCGGACTGTCTGCCTGATTAGATAGCAAGGCCTGTTTGTCTTCAGTTGGGAGACAAATTTATGACCCAGTAGCACTGAAGTACGCTAATTCTGAAACTTTTCTATTGCAGTTACCTATATCCAATTAATGGCCAATAAATCCAACCATAGATGCCTCCCAGAAGCAAAATTGTATCCTTTGACCAAATCCATTAGCACGAAAAGTCTTTTAACCTACGGGCTACAGTAATAAAGCTGTAAATAAATCTGAAAATACAACAATTTGATTATAATAGGATGGATGTGTACAGACATTGCATGCATTACATAACAGAGAAACATGCATCAACATTCAGATTCAGTATAATTAAAATAATTAAAAGGTAAAAAATGAAACAGAAGACTGCAAAAAACATTTTTAATAGAACTGCCCAAGGTCATAAAAAGCCTGTGCTATTAGGCTAACAGATAAAGATTAGTTTGGGAAAATATGCCACATAGAAAAGCATAGAACCAACTGGAAACATAATAAAGAAAACAGTTGAAAGCGGGCTTAAGATAAGTTTGGCGATAAGTATTTGGAGGTACAATTTTTTTACGCCTACTTTACATCAAGTTTTGAAACCTATGGGCAGGGGTATATTCACTTTGCTAACACAGATAGTCCTTGAACTCGTAATAGAACTAAAATCATGGCCTAACCCTGGTACACATAATACGGGAGTACCGAATGTTTCAAAAAGAAAGTAAAGATTACATAAAAAAGAATTTCAAGTCAGTACAGTTGGGAAAAAACTACAGACAATAGATGTTTTCAAATAAGTTCCATAGTATTAATCTATAATTCAATTAGGGCTGAACACTTCATGGAGAGTAGATTTGAAAAATAATAAAGCTAGGATAAATTCAATGTTTCAAATAGAGGGGAAAATATCGGACGAGAAAGATATGCCAGCAAAACCACTGACCTTTAACCCTGGAAACAGAAAAATTGAACTGGAAATAGTAGAATAATTTAAAAGTGACTATTGGCTTCAAAATTCGCTGCAGACAATGAAATGAAACTGGCACTACTGTGCTTAGGATAAAATCAATTTTTCAGAATGAAGGGGTAAAATTTGTCCGTGACAAATATACAGGATGTCCATAAAGTTAACTTCATACTAAGTTATTTCTCAATATATCTTAACCAGTTTTTTTTTAATCAGTAATTGTTATTTTTAGAGAACCAAAACAATATATGGTATCGATAAATTCATTTTGTAATTAAAAAAAATTTCAAGACTTTATGGACACCTTATATAACTTTTGATCCACAATTTACGAATTGGAAACATTATTGAGAAAAAAGTATTCAATATTTCAAATAGAAGGGGAAAATATTGGTTGAAGAGAGACTTGAAGCATTTCAAGTCAACAAAGCCAGAAAAGCAACAGGAAAAATTGATATCCAGAAATTCAAAATTATCAAGTCAAAATTTCTCAGACAGACAATGAGATGAAACTGATACAAACTAGCAGCGTATTTTTGATACTTGACTTGAAACAACAAGAAAGAATTTTTTTTAGTAAATCGTTTTATAATTTGAAACTTATGCCAAAATTCAATTGACAAGCAGGAACAGGAGCCTAGTCAGGAATTTTCAAGGGGGGTTCTGAAATGTCTAATTGCCAAGTTAGACTGTAACAGCTAGCGAGCTCGGCTGGATGTTCGAAAATGCAAGATTTGAAGAGATTTGAGGGTCTAAAAAGCGTTAACAGCTACGAAAAATTGCTATTTATGATACAGAAAATATTTTATCCTCTTTACATGTTAGAAGAGGGGGGTTCAGATTAAAATTGTGTTGAATAATCAGCAGTGAAAACGATGGTAAATATATAAGATAAAAATGAAAAAGAAAGTACCGTAGTTTAATATATAAAAAAAACAAAAACAGAAAAGCCAACTTAGTGGATCAAATATCAAGATAAAATCAAAACAGAAAATATCAGTCGGAGACCGAAGACTTATCGATCGAAAGTTAGGGGATCCCCTAAAACAGAAACTGCGTTTTCGATTCATGCGCTCTTCCTCCATAGTGACACCGTGTGTCCCATCACTAATTAATCAATAACTCGCTAATTATACGACATAATTCATCCAAAATTAATAGGCTCCTGATCCGAGATATTATGAATGCACATGCAAAATTTGAAGCAGATTCAACCTTGCTTTCGTGAGATATCGCGTGTATCTAACAGACAAACAAACAAACAAACAGACAAATACCTATCAACATACTTACCGATCTCAAGATCGATGAGTAATAAGAAAAGATTGTAACCTACCTAACTGGAATTAAATGTCAAATTTTACTCAGCATTCAATATTAAATTTTAGAAGCAAGTAAATAAATACATGAAGTTCAGGAACCACTGGTCTAGTGCCCCATTCTTAGTGAAGAAACACAAATTTCGATAGAGTAGAGAATGATGAAAATCAGTATTTTTTTTCGATTCAAAATACAATTTTTTAACATTAGGAATCCTTACAATCGTACATAAATGCCAAGTTGAAAACTAAAAAAAACGTCAAACTAAGGGGCCGGCCGATATGTGAGATCAGCTTATATGCGGGGATATGCGATAATGAAAACAGTGGCAGTTCTTGCGGTTACCCTTGAATGAGCTGTCCATGACCCAAATACATAAAATATGGTACTCCCATAGTATGTGAACTAAAATATGGAAAATTGGAATAAAATTATGGCCTAACCCTAACCTGGTACATATACTACGTTCCGGTGTCCGCCATACTACAGGAGCGCCGAAAATATATCAGTCATAAATATATGGCAATGGCGGCATCAGTAATCAATATAGTCAAGCTAATAGAATACCTGAACAGAACTAATATTTTCATAAATATTATTTTGAATAAAATGTAGGTTTGGGCTTAATCATGGACATGGTGAGGGAATTGTTAACCCATATAAATGCCTTTTTATACATAAACTGTCTGATTAGAATTTTTAACTTGATTGGGAAAAATCAGAGTTCTGACAAGGGCCACACTAAATTGCTTGGTGGGCCGGGCCGTGGCCCACAGGTCGCCTGTTGCAAATCCCTGACTTAGCAGTTATAGCATTTCGGACTCAAGTATGTTGGAAACTGGAAAGATCTGTCATTTTTGTACAGTGGTTCTCAACCTTTTGTGTTTCGTGACCAATTTTTGTTGCACAAAAAATTCCTGTGGCCCATTAACTTTCTCATACAAGGAAAAAACCACAAAAAAAAAATATTCTTTTCGCAAATATTGTGAATTATCACTCAGTAGCTAAAACTGCATCATCATTCATTGCCAATACAATCATAATTGACTACAGTAACACAAATACAACTAGCAATTTTTACTGGGATTGTGGTTAAGCGCGAAATCTTTCTGGAGCCCAGAAGCAGGTACGGGCCCACTGGTTGAGAACCGGTAATCTAGTAGGATAGTAGATAATGCCTGCTTCTGTAGATCTTGTTCCAAGTGAAAAAACCTCATAAAAAATGAAGAAAAAAAATTATAAAATACAGCATTACGCAAACTGACTAGACAACAACATGATTATCAGTGTTAGATAATATAATAGCAGTAATAGGCAACTTAAAACGCCAATATTTCACAACATTTTAATGTGCAAATATGGCCCAGCAGGACCATGAGTACCTAATTGAATAGTCAACACTCCAGAAGTGTGTGTACCAATATAGAGTTACCTAATTTTGTTTGCCTACTTCACATCAAGTTGTGTAATGGGACTGAAACCTATAAGCAGGGGGTTGATTCACTTGGCTAACACAGACAGTCCCCGAACTCGTAATATAACTAAAATAAGGGAAATCCGAATAAAATTATGACCTAACCCTAACCTGGTACACACACTACGGGAGTACCAATTAGTCTGATATTTTACAATTCTGTTAATTTTTAAAATCATGATGATGACAATGGAGTAGCGAGTTTTACAATAAGTTAGTGAGTCTGACAATAAGAGTTCTTGAACATCGCTTAATATAGCATTACTATATTTTTCAGATACCACTAGGTACATGTATCCCAGGATAGGAAGAGAGCCTTATGCTCGTTAAACACTACGTTTCAACAGTTTTCTTGCAATGATTCAAGATATGTCTTTCCAAGTTTGGTTGGCGTGTGAAGGTCTTACCACAGTCTATACAGGTATATGGTCTAAGTCCACTATGTGTTCGAATATGGTCACATAAAGTTGATTGTAGCGTGAAGCAACGTTTACACTGGGGGCATTCGAATGGTTTTTCCCCTGTGTGTATGCGCATATGTGCTCTAAGATTGCACTGTTGTGTGAAGCCCTTCCCGCAATCTGGACATTCAAACGGTTTCTCACCAGTGTGGGTCAAAAAATGGCGTGTCAGATCAGAAGATTGATTGAAACCTTTGCCGCAATATGAACATGTAAATGGCTTTTCACCCGTGTGAATTCGAACATGGGTAGCTAAGTTGGCTTTTCGAGAAAAAAATTTCCCACAATAGGTGCAAGGGAACGGTTTTTCGCCAGAATGGCTGATCATGTGAGCTTGTAAATTCCCTCTGCGACTAAAACATCGGCCACACGTCTCACAAGAAAATGGCTTTTCGCCAGTATGAGTCTGCATATGAACCCGTAATGTATCTTTACGTGAAAAAGACTTATGGCATTCAACACATAAATAACACTTATCTTTCATTTTTTTCTTTATTTTACGCTGTGTTTTCTTGAAAACTTCTTCATAATTTTTCAGGGGCATTCCCGGGTCTAATTCTTGACACTTGGCTACAGATTTTTCAAAATTTGTGGTACTGACAATGTCGTCAAAAACATGCGTCGCTGTGTGCTGTCTCCACTTTAATGCTGAAGCGAAATCTTTATCACAGTGTAGACATGAATATTTTATAGCATCTGTCACAGCCTCGTTTTCTTCTTTAATACCCACTTCAGACGACTCATTTTTATTTTTCTGTGAAGTATGACTAGTTGATGTCGTCCCTTCTGTTTCTAAGTCCTCATTTCTTTTGAAATTTGAGGGAAATTTATCAGTTTTTTTCAAAGAATCATATTTTAGAGTACCTATCGCTGGCACTGTTTCTTCTTCCATATTATCATCAGAAGACTCGCTTATATCATCGCGTGAAATCGACTCTTCTTCAAAACCCATTGTAATATCTGGAGAAATATTACATGTTTTTCTCATTAAATCGGTATAAAAATTTTCCTTTTCCACAATAGACTGCAATTCTTCTTCATAATCATCCATTCTTGCTTTATTATCATCCTCCCATGTGGATTTCTCATTTTGAACACTGTCATTAACCGTAACAGTTTCCTCTTTCGCCACATCCAAAGTGGTTGCTCCATTTTTAATATTCGGCGTGCATTCTGAAGTTGAATACCCATCTTCACTATCCCCAATTACTCCATTGCGTTTAGTTCGTAAATCCATTGAAAATTGATAGCTAATAATACTGAAATAACTATTTAAAATGAAGTAAAAAAAAATCAATTATTAAAATTAGCCATTAGATGGTGATAGGATTTTCGTTCCTGGGTTGTATGGTGAACCATCACTTTAACCCTTTCCATGCGATTTTTATTTTTTATTAAATAATCGTATTTGCTACACCGATTTTATGCATTTGTACCCCACAACTAATCGATCGACTAACGAAAAACTAATGATCCTCTGCTGCCCACTGATGGCTCGTTGGAAAGCTTATATAAAGAGCTTGCAATTGGCGATTTAAAAAAAAAGTATTTTTAAAAGTGGTGGTCTGAGTCACAAACCGGATAGAAAGAAGGCATTTTTTTTCTTGGGAGTTGAAACTCCGAACCGTGATAAAAATAGAAATATTCGCTAAATCCTTTACTGTTACCGCTTCGTGGTTGGCAAACAATAGCATAATATTGCTGTAGCAATTTCGTGATCTAACTCAAAATACTTTGGTAGATGAGGGGGATAATATGTCTTCTATTACCACCCAAAAAACACCGAAATTTGCATCAATTTCAATAACACTCCCTCGTTCCGCCGCGGATGAAATTCCCGCCGTAAACGAAAGCGAGATTTACCGTCGCTTATGTTAATCTCGAAGAAGACTTCTTATCAATAAACTAAATAAAACCCGGAAAAACTAGACAAACAGTTTGCGACCGATTGCTAAATAAAACAGTGGAGTACATCAACGTACCCACCGCAATCTAGCGACTTTTGACGTTGGTACGTATACGTGCCCACCGCACGGAAAGGATTAACTTATTTGCGGACAAGAATGATTGAAGTGTTAGACTCGGCTATGTTTACAAGTTAAAAATATTGGGTTTGACCAAGAACGTAGCCAGCACAAAATCTGGTTTTTGTATAATGACATAATATGACCCTCATTCCTTTTTCTTCTTTGAACAAAGTCAGATAAAGTAGCCACTGCAAATGTCGCAAAATTGCATTAAAAAAAATGTTGAGACTTTGAAGCACGAAGCCATGGCACCTCAGCCACCCCCTGGCTGTGCCTATGGTTTGATGCCTATTGGTTTGACCCCATGCCACGTTACCCAAAACATAGCTGTCAGTATACTACAAAGAAATCTCAAGCCATATGGACATATAAAGCCTCCCAAAGTCTTGAGCCTTTAATGGCCTTGTAATTACATAAGATTTATTAGGTTGTTATTGTAGATTGAAACACACTTTAAATAAATTAACAAAGTAGAATAGCATTTTAAGATCACTATTTGCTTGCAAATAGACAAATAAAAGTCCAAAACACAAGGATTAAAGACAACTGCAGATTTGAACCAAAAATAGGGAAGATTTCTGTTCTGTTTTTTTTCTAGCAACTACCCTGTATATTGACTAAAACGTGCGAGTATGTACTCAAGGATTAAACGTTTGGATCCGGCCAAAGCGTGTACAAAACTGACATTTCCAAAATGAAGCAGAAATAATAAATCTTTTGAGTTTCCCATATCTTCATAACGACCTCAATCAGCATAAACAAAAGCAATTAGGACCCTAATCCTTCATTCAAAACACAATACAAAGCCAAGGATTACACTAAGAGGATAATTTGTTCAAGCTGAATTATACACTTATTCAGTCTGGACAGGAGAATTACAGACATTTATTTTCCATGACATTTTTTCAAGCAACAACTAAAAAAATAACAAATATGTAGAATGATACTAGAATGATTTTTATGATAAGACCCATAGTCTCCACTTTTGCTGAGGCAACCCTATTTTTTACAATCGGGATGAAGTCATAAGCTGAAGGTCTGATATCAGATATATATAAACTTTGTTGTTAACAGGGATAGTTATAGTGCGCTAACTGCTAGGTTGGGTTCTCGAAGTGCACGGTATGGAGCCCTAGGGCTCCGTAAGAGAAATTCAGTGGCTCCACAAGCTTGTCGTTTACTTATTAAAATACTGAATTGGCTAATTTTGTAACTGTCCAAAGAAGCAATAACAGCCAATAATAACATTTGACATCGATAGCATAATCCAAATATAACATTATCTAAAAGTTCCAATGAATGAATATAGCTATATTTCAATTACCTCCTCGTTGCCACATTTCGACATTACTTTATTAATATGTTTGTCAATGGTAAAATTTAATTGTGAGGCACCGTAACTAATAGTCAACCTTTTCCACGGGCTCCATAGTGCCAAAAGTTCAAGAACCCCTCACCTTGAGACTCAAATCATAATTTGACTTTATTATTATGACTACTACAGCAAGAATACAATAAATCTATTAATCTATAAGTTAGAGAGATAACTTTACTGAATAACACTTAAACAATCATTTGACCTCATTGCTTAGACACCTGCAATGCCAGCATATGTTGTTACAACATGCCAACTGCTAGTCCACCATATTCACATTAGTGGAGCCATATTGTACTTATTCAATAAAAATACAAATAAACTATCAGATGCCAATAAGTAGGCTTAGCCTATGTCCCGGTTTAATCAGGACAATCACGGTTTTGACAAGCTGTTTCGGTCCCGGTCATGTAGTATGACAGTTACAATTTTTTTTATTATTCAATATCAATACAAAATTATTTTCTTTTTTAATTAATGGAGGCAGTCCATTTATCATAGATTCGCGAATCACTTCACTAGTTTAGTAAGAGAACTACTATATTTTTATGTCGTAATTATTATATGTTTACTACGTCAATTTAACATCTAACATTAACTGTAGTGCCGTTTAAATCATTCAAAATGCGCAAAAGAAGGTCCACGTTTTCCAAGGATTTGAATATTACTAAGCCTTGGATTCGAACCAAGGTTTGTCAAATTTGCGCTGTTCCGGTTTTCTGTTTCATATATATTGTAAGCCTACCAATAAGGAAGAAATAGGGCATTTTGTATTGAACTGCGAGCCCTTGCAATTGTCTACTTCATATCATTATCGAAGGCCGTATCTAGAAGAATGCTTGAACGAGACAGTATTAAAGTATTAAATAATAATAACATAATCTCTTTCTGTAAAAAAGCGAGCGAGAGAAACTGCTGTTGGATTAGGTTATAACTTGTTTCTTCTGAAGAAGAACTATGATGCAATGAAAGCTAACAAATGTAATTGCTATTTCATGGAAAGAGATTTATGTTCTTCTTATTTTAACTAATAGACGTTAGAAAAATACTATTAAATAATGCATAGATATAAATTATTCCTACTGCTTAGCCATATTTGTGTAAATCTACTAAATGATATTTTGCATATAGCCACTACCTTTTCATACAGCTCTATCCCAAGGGGTTTAATCAATAATACAGGCAGCCATGACAGCCTTTGCTGGTTGTGTCCCTTGAGGCTACACATTATTCACTGACATAATGCAAAAAAAGGTTATTAGAACAATAAAAAAAAAAAAAACAGTAGAATTTTATTCGTTATTGGCCATTTTATTATATATTTTGTTTTATATAATCTTAACTCTGTTGACATATAAGGTTAGTGGTCTTGAGTTCGAGTTTAGTCCATGCCTACTATCTTTTCCAATGAAGGGTGTAAAAAACAAGTAGGCTTAATTGAAAAAAACGGGAATTTGGGGGGGGCGTGCTAGAAGCCATCAAAATGGGGCTACAAGCAGTCGCGTATCTACGCAAAATGGCGCCCGTGGCAAAGTCTAAAAATGGGCCCCCGTGATAGTTGTTTGGCAATTTATAATGAATTGAGATACTTGTATGTTATTATTTGAGCAAAAATATGAGTTTCAGTTATTCCCAATTTAAAATTAGTTTATATAAACTTTTTATGACTAATACTCTTTTGCTGTTTTTGCGCCCGTTCAATCGGCGCCCATGGCATAAGCCATGGCTGCCACACCCTAGAAACGCCACTGGCTACAAGCCATACAAGGTTGAGCAGCACTGAATTGAATCTAAATTTGAATTAATTTTTTATAAGGCATATTGCACCCTTGCTCACCCTTGCCCTTGCTGTAAGAATCAACTATTCTTGATCTTTAACAATAGACATTGACAACCTAATTTATTACAACATGAGCATGGGATAAACAATAAAATTTACTAGAGAATAAACTGAATACCTTTTCTTTGTTTAAAACAACATGACCCGAGAGGATTTTCAGGCTTTGGGTCGAAGCCATAGACTGGGAAACACTGGACAAACAAAAATAAGTAGGCCATCATGATAATTAAAAAAATTTCAATTTTAATCCAACGCCCGAAGATTGTTACAAAACAAATCACTTTATGCATTATTATTTATTAAATTAGCTTCTCTCATTCCCTTATTTGTCTTTTGGACGTAGTTGCTAGTTAAATGAATTAAACGTATCTCGCAATCTCAGCGACAAAACCCAATAAGAAGGATAGGATTCACATATTCATCCCGCAGGAGAGAAAAGAGAATCAGCTCCAGTTACCAGGCATGTCGGGTATTGGGTCATTACTTATCGATCCCTCTCCTTGATGATAGAGGGAGCTGTAACCGAGCAAAGCGAAGCCACGCAGGGTAATCAGAGGTGCTGTGGTAAGCGTATTCCTAGCGCTCAACTCGATTCGCCACACCGCTTCCCAGTTACGGTATATTCAATATAATATATTTTGGAATGCAAATTAGTTTAAAATATATTCTACATATGATTTTTTCAGAATATTAACATTCTTTTCAATCAATCAATAAAATTATATACTGATGCTGACCGTACAACCAAATTTTATTTGGACTGAGTACAATAAGCAACAGAACTTAAACGACCAAAATCACAAAAAATTCAGTTTATACAAAAACCTAATTTGTTGACAAAATATAAAATCTGGAAAGTAATCTCTTTACACTATGTGATGCACAATCAGAACAGCAGTTATGTGAACCACCCTATGGCAATGAGGAGTCCAGCAACACTCTCGCACATATTTATCCCTGCATGAGTTCGCAGGTTCGAATCCCATCATTTCCCATTCGAATCAGAGGTATGATAGCAAGTG